AATAAATTATACAAAAAACATAGAAATGTTAAGCTAAAATGTTGTATCTATAAAATCATAAAAATATTTATAGCACTGAAACTATAAATAAAATATGTAAAATATTAAGTTCATCTTAGACATAATCATTAAAGCCGTTTCCTCAAGTGCAGTATTTTTTAGTCCTATTTATTTTTTTAAGTGTTATCACTAATTATCTGCAAAAAAATGTAAAAATTGGTTTATCCATAAAAACGTAAAAGCTTACTCATTTTTTTTTCAAGTTACAGCACTTAATTATTAGTTTTTGGATCAGGCTTCTAATACCTTTGATATAATACTAACAAATATTTTATAATTTTTCTTCTTTTATATGTAGACATTACTGGTTTTTTTTTTTTTTTGTAAGAAATAAATATGGAAATTTAAATGTTGGTTTTACTATTACAAATGAATTAAGTAATTAATTGAAAAACTAAATATTGCACTGTATCAATTAGAAGTCAAATAAATTGTTTTTTTAAATAAAATATAAAAAATAWATTACTTGGAAATGTAATATTTGAAAATAATTTATTATGTTCTTATTTTATTGTTTTGAATAAATCACCTAATACTAATATTTTTGATAAAAATTGTGAGCTTTTTTATTTAAAATTTAATAAATAAGAGTATACATATTTTATAATTGTATTTCTTTATTCCTATGTTTCAATCATTTATTTCGATAGATTAAAATTAACAATTTTTTGATTACCATGTTGTAATTGAAAACTACAACTATTATCAAACATGATTTAATATTTAATCTTAATAATATAAATTATGTCTTACTTTCAAGTAAATAATGGCCTCGGTACCAAACCCATCACAAGGTAACAAAACTAAATCTCCATGCAAATATCTAGCGTAAAGCCTAGAAATAGGAAGTCCATAACCATACCCTAAAATTGTTAACATCATTACATTAAAAATGTGTATATTGTTTACATTTTATCAAAAAATTTGTTTAAAAATACTTTCCAGCTAATGGCACTGTATGTGCATCTGATTTTGAAGGTTGAGGAGCAGTTGAATACATGTAGTGAAACATACGTTCACTCAAACTCCTTGGAATGCCACCTCCTTGGTCAGACACCTGTCAAGATAATAAAATATTTTTAGTATTTAATTGACAATTGTACATATTTTTAAAATATGTTTTTTTACTTACAAACTTTCATAACATTTATATTATTTCAACTAAAAGTTTAAATTATAACTTAACTTATGTACAAGTATTTGAATTTCTTTATCTATGCCAATAAGTACAAGACCGTTATATTTTTTATTTGTTGTAAGTTGAATCTAACCTACATGCTAAATATAGTATATTAAGAGGACTTCACACCTGAAAATGTTGTTTTCATCTTACGAGTGTGTAAAAAACCAAATTTTAAGCTCAGCAGTTTCAATTTAGCTCTGTTAGCTTAAAATTTAGAATGAATTGACCTCTTATAAAAATTAATTTAACACTATTATCTAGGTTATTATGACAATTGGAAAAAAAGAACAATTTTTAAAAATATTTTATTAATTATTACAAAAAAAAATTATGGCTATCAAGGTATTATTATWAAACACTCGAATAATAGCATAAAAGTATGGAAAGATCTATATAGGGAATATACGGTACTAAAAAGTTATTTTACTAGTAYCTCAACATAGGTGTCAAAAAATATATCATAAATTAAATAAAATGTCAAAGGGCTTATCAATAATTGGGTAATAAAATTCAATTTAAGTTTTATTTTATTATTTAGTATCCAAATATAAAATTGAATTTCATAGTAGGTAAGTAAATTTTTTCATTCTATTGACACCCCATAATATTTCAAGTTTCATCATCAATTATTAATATATTTGAAATTTTTTGAAATTGATTGTTCTTTTTTCCGTGGTCTTTTATTCTGTGATTCGGTTATCACAGAGGCTTATTATATTACAATTTTAAAGCAAGTTATGAGTATTTTTTAAATTGTAAATTGTTTGTATATCTTAAAATACTCATAACTTGCTTTAAAATGAATATATTATGATAAAAACAAGGCACTGTGATAACCTGGATAGTAATATTATCTTTAATTTTAATAAGAGGTAAAATCACTCAAAATTTCAAACTAATGGAACTAAATTGGAACTGCTGAACATAAAATTTGGTAGTTACACGCTCGTAAGACGAAAACAACATGTGCAGGTGAGGCATACTCTCTAGGTAATCTCATGTAACCATTATTAGCTAAAGATATGACATGTTAAAATTCATCTTTACAGATGTTATACAATGTTATTAAGTAGATAATAAAATAATAGAAATGTTAAAATAATTATTAATATCTAAAAATAATATTCAAATATAAAGTTAAAAAAAAATAAAAATTTCCACTTATATCAAACAAAAATGATACTATTTACAGTGGAATATTATATTCTATCATCAAAATATAATGATGATTAAAAATATATATAAATTGTAGATATATCCATACCTAAACCAAGGTTATAATAATCTAGAACATAGATACAATATTTTTAAACTTACTTTAACRCAGACATCTTCTTTTCCTTTTACGATTGTTACTTGCAATGGTGGCAAAATATCAGTCTTATGATGCTCAACAGTAGCTCTCATTGAATTTTTGAACAATTCAAATAAAATATGATACAAATGTGATGGCACATAAACAATTTTTATTGGCTCATCATCAGCATCTATAAAATTAAATACAATAAAACATCTAGTAGCATCAATCTTGCATGGTTAAACTTACCAATACTTTTACAGATTTCTAATTCGGGTGAGGTCAAATAATATTGGTCACATAAAAATCTGGCATTCTCGTATGCATCTTTCACAACACTTATCACATCACAATATGGATCAATACATCCAATATGTTGGTGATGGTTATTGTTGTTTATATGGTCACCAAATAATAATGCTTAAGAACAAAAACAAAGAAATAAAATGTAAAAAAAAGAAAATATTTTAAACATTCACTTTAAACTTACTATGCTGGTTAATAAGCATACGAATGCCAATTCGAGACATATAAAAACGATCAAGAAAATATTGAATGCTGTTTTCGGTATGCAAATCGATTTCATGTGAATCTTTTAGCTCTAAAACCCCTTGAGCCATCGTCTGTACAACATCTGAATGACGATTACGAATTTTTACC